TCCTGCTGACATGGCAGTGTCACTGTCTTCATTGTTGAAGCATGGAAGTTAACATTTTTGTCTGGTTTTAGCTTTGCTATGATAGAACTTAAGAGACTAACTGGGAACTCAAACACCTGATTAGTGAGAGAAATTGCTATATTTTGGAATGTGACACTGCATGTGAGAACAGGTTGGGGTTTTTTTCTGAAAATGCATTCCTTTATATGCAGAAGGTATTGTTTAATGAGTAACTTCAGTGTGAAGAAATGTCTTATTTATGAATTATGATCTCAATTCAGCATGAGTGGGGTTTTTGTGAAAACTTCCCTCATTAGTAGATAGAAGAGTATGTCATCTTCTTAGAGGTTGTACAGTATAGCCCAGCTTACCTGCAGACTCAATGGCATGTTATACTGTTCTTTTTTACCTCCTGCTGCTGCTGCTTTTTCCTTTTCACTGGGTATAATTTTTTTTATGGGAGACAGAGTCATTGTGGCAGCTTTGCTACTGTATCCAGGACCATTGCGAGAGATAAGTAAGAGTTAGATTCATTAGGTTTAATTCACTGTGATCCATTACTGTTACGGAATTATATTCAGTAAATCCTGTTGGCTGTGGCTGACAGACTTTTAGAAATAATAATCATGAAATGTTCTTGTAGCTGGGGGAGGGGGTCATCTTCCTATGTTCCTAAAATTTACGTTCATTTTTTTTTTTTCCTGAAATTAAGTCATGTGGTGAAGACCATGACAAATAGCTTTTGGTTCAGTCAGTCAAATGGCTTGCAGTAACTGGGATGAATCCAAAGGAAAGCGATAAGAATGATAGAAAATCTTGAAAATGTGCCCTATTGTGAAAGAATAACACAATGTTAGGGTTGTTTTGAGCCTAGGGTTGAAAAGTGCAGGGAGGACTTGCCAAGCATTCACATTTGTAAGAGACTTCTGCAAATAGAATTATCTGCTGTTCATGTCCATGGCAGATAGTCAAAAAAGTACTAGCCATGAATTGCACAGAGGAACGGTTAAGTAGACGTTTTTAAGACAAACCATCAAACAAAAAGGGTGGTTGAGCAGTGAGAAAGATTAAGGAAGAGTCTGCAGAATCTTTCTCCTGTGGTCTTGCATAGCTTATTGCTGTCTCTGCCCTGGAGCAGAGGGAAAACTTTTTTAGTTTCCTCCCATCCTCATTCTCCCAGATTCTGAGGTCTCCGAAGCTCTGGTGAGGTGCACCTTTTGTGTTGAAGGTAGAGCCCTCTCTTACAAGGGATGAATGCTCTGAAAGTACAAATGTTACATCAGCTTCTATATGCTGGGAGTCAGGGATGGAAACTAACCTTTCAGAAAGAACAGTGATGGATGGTTGTCTCGATACAGCTTCTTGTAATTTGAAAGAAGAGGAGGAAGCAGGAAGAAACAGGGGAGAGCATTTGATTTTTCAAACACAATGGAGCCTAGGACATACTGAGACAGGGTGTCAGTGAGGATGTTTTTCTAATAGTCTGTAGGACATTCCAAAATACTTGCTGGACACAAAGTGCTCAAATTCTGGCAGATGCTTCTGAAATGGCAGGGACAGGGTTAGTAATGTTTGTCCAGAGAGAGATAGGGGCTGGAGAATAAGAAATATTGATAGTATCAATCTAACTTTGTCTGATTTCCATAACTTCAGGTCTGAAAAATGAATATAAAGTTAACGGATGCCATTGTGTTTCCCAGTGACTTAGGAGAGGCTTCACTGAAAATCATTGGCGTCACTGCAGAAGACGATGGTATCTATACATGTATAGCTGCAAACGATATGGGTTCGGTTTCATCTTCCGCCAGTCTACGAGTTTTAGGTAGGCCTGTCTCTTTGCTTTTTTTATCTAATTACATTCAACATGTCTGGTACCCATAGTACAGGAGAAACAAAACCCTGGCTCTTGGGCATCTCTCTATTAAAGGAATATTATAACAAACCTTTTCACCTGTGGTACATTACTTGTTTCAGCA